CTGGTAAGACTCTAGCCTATTTAATCCTTTTGTGCCTCTGAAACTGATGATAATATGTAAAATGTTTTAGCATACTTAGGAATTTTTTTTCGAACATCAATTCAGATTCACAAACAATCCTGTGAGGTATACAAGGAAAAGTAAAAACACACAACTCCTATTGTTGGAGTAATTATGCAAAAGAAATGAGAGCTAACATAACAGGTGCAGGTGAGACTGGTGTGCAGGTCTTCCGACGCTAAACCTTATGCTTTTTTATATTGGAATAGGTTGGGATAATACGCTGGACCTGTGATATCCCTGTATAATGAAGGAATGTTCATCAAAGCCTTTCAAATGACCACATTACACTGAAATAATGTGATTTGACAGGTAGTCAGAAGTCTGCTACAGTAAAAGGGGGCTCTGCACTTTTGGTCAGAGGATAAGTAAGAATCTCAGCTATGCCATTTAATCCAACTGGGCCCTAATTTCTTCTTCTGTAAGACCACATTCCTACATCACAAGAATATTCTGAAGATTATAAGGGCTAACATTTGCACACCATACTCGTCAAATTTATCAATACCACTAGTAAGCATCCACAGAAATGAAGTTTTCTTCCTACAGCCCCTTTTGTTGTGACCTATCCTATAACAGAGCCAAGAATGCACCAGCAAACAGGTACTCAAATCACTGACCACCACAAAATGACAGGCAAGGAAGTTCATTTATCGTTCAAAGACAACTCTGAAAAAATCTTACTCCCAATCAACTTGCAAATCCATTCACTCCACAAATATTGATTGAATACTCCTTCTCTGCTTGGTGATAAAGAATATAACTATAAGTAAAATAATGTCCTCCTAGATTTGTTGGCATTTCCATTCTATGCTAAGCATGTAGCCAAAGTTTGAGGACAGATCTTTGAACAAGACTTGGTACATGTTCCCAGCTAACTTTCAATATTGCTGTAAAAGCAGTGTCAGATATATTAGAAGTCTACTAAGTACAGTGTATGAGAGCTCAGTAGTAAGTTTCAAGGGAACACACGGGAAGACCAATGAACTACACATGACTCAGCCGTCAAAAGGCTATATGAAAAAATGACATCAAGATTGTGATCTTGATGGATTGAGGAATGAGAAAGGCAGGAAAGTAGAGAAGGAACTGTAAGGTTAGGGGAGGGCACAGAGGCAGAGTAATGGTGAAATCCAGCAAGGAAAAGTCATGTTCAAAGATTATTAAGTGATAAATGAGCAAAACACACTATTGGACAAAAGATCTTCACTAAAATGGAAGCACAGAATGTGAGAACTATTGAAAGCAAAATATGGAAAAAGAAGCTGGGCCTACATCATGAATGCCTTTATAAGCAACAATAAGAATTTTGAATTTTATACTGAGGATAATGTAAACCCACTGAGTGGTATTGAACAGAAGAGTAACATGATGAGGTTGGTGTCCTAATCTTATTGCAAACAAAAATCAATACAGTACCTTTGTCTACTTTCCAACCTCTAAACATGGAAGAAGAAGATCATAAAGTCAAGAAAAAACCCACTACACCAGGAGAAGCAAAAACAGGAAAATAAAATATGAATAATGAACAAGTTATTTTAAACGCTGAGACACCTGTACCTTTTTTCTTGTTTGTATTAATTACATACATGATTACTAAATAAACATGACTACTGTATATGTAGGATTAATATTTGATCCTTCACTAGAATGTATGATAATGAGGGCTGCAACCACATTACCTGGTTCATCATCATAATCCCACCGTGGAGGGTAGTACATGGAACTAATGTACAATTTTTGAATAACTGAAGGCATAGATGAAAATAGCATAAAAGCTTTAATGCTTAATGTGGTCTTTAGGGCACCATTCTATTGCAACAAAATACAATATTAACAAGCATAAGTTGTATGTAGAATTTTGAATTCTATCCGTAACAATCAGCATTAAGTTTGAGAAAGGAAAATAGTATATATACATTTTAGAAAATCTCAAAACGTGCAATTTTTTGCTTAAGTTCATGAGTAGGTAAACCCTAATCCACACAGAAATTTGGCTTCTCTGTATTTTATACACCAAGTGGTTCAGAAACTCTAGGTTTTACAATTTTGCAATTAGCATTACAATTATTTTAGAGGAATATTTAAAAGGTGTATTCTTCCTTATTTCTTTCTTCCATTAGGCTTTGAAACTTATGAACTAGCCTCAGTGTAAATTCCAAGAAATTATGCAGTGTATTAGAATATTTTTCATGATTTTCATTTAAGACCAACCTCAGTAATTGTGTCTTATGCTAAAAAGCCTCAGAATATCTATGATTATGGGTATTAATTCACATGCATTGAAAGCAGCCATCTCTAAGTACATCTGTTATTGCTGTTCAGAGCATTACAGCAAAATGAAACAGGAAGCAAAATATTCGATGTTTCCTTTAAATGCCATAGAAATACATGTTATCAGCTAAAGTGTGCCCCATTGGAAATTTAGTCAAAGCCACAAACTCCTACAGAGAAATTAATCTACATCGGCCTCATTTAAACATGCTAGAATACATCCCTCAACAGAGAATGTGCAAAGAACAATTACAATGTGAATACAGTTTATTGCAAGAAGTATCAAAATTAAGCATCTGGTCTATTCTTTGTCAAAATCATGCTTTCCTCTTTCATTTAATCATTTACATTTAACTATATGTGTTTGTGTCTTTGTGTGTGTGTGTGTGTGTGTGTGTGTGTGTGTATTTAGATATATTTTTCCTCTATGAAGAAGTCATTCTGGTCTTTAGGGAAAGGTGATTGCTTGTGTGTTTTGAATTACAAGAGTCAGGTTTCTTTGTTAACTTAATCAGCAGCAACTTGAACAAACCAAGCACAGCCTTTTCATCCTTCCCAGTTGAAAATGAAAACCGCAAGCATTGCTTGTTGATGCCACGTAAATATGTCTCCATTTTCAAGATCAGAACTGGACAGCTTGTGAGGATTTGGCCCCATAACTTCCTAATCATTACAAGGTTAAAGAGTCATGCTATCTGCTTTTGTACATCTGGAGTTATGTTTACAAAGGTTGCATGCCTATACCATTAACAGTATTATTGCTTGTACCATTATCAGTATAATTCTTACTTCTGATTTTTACACCACTATGCACTTTTTAATGCAGTTTAACTCCTATAACAAACTTGAATGCAAAATAACATGGGAATACTATTCCATTTTTGTGCTAAAAACACGGAGACTATGAGTTTAACAGATATGCTCTAACTCACAGTTGAGAGAAAGATCAAATTCTTGAATTCTACAAACAAAACAAAATAAACTTAAGCAAACAAGACAATAGATGAAGTAAAAGGCAATTTTATGTACTAAAAGTACATAAATGAAAGCCACTTAGCCTTTTATGTTTCTCTTTAAAATAATTTCACTGTCATTTGTTCTCAAACAGTATGCAATTTTTAAAAGTTAATTCCTTTGAAAATAAAATTTCAATTCTTTAATGTTTTCCCTTCTTCACAAAATGAGTAACTGAAAAGCTATCCAACATTCTCTGGGGTATTGCTTTAATAAAATAAACGTATGTAGTTATGACTGAATGGCCCTTATAAAGTCTGAGATTCTGTTATTTTGATGGCAAACTCACCTCATTTGAGGAAATTTAATGTTTTTTAGGGGAATGTCCAGTGAAAACTGAAAAGAATCTAATCTTTTTCCTTAAAATATGGAATCACACAAGAATATAGTCTCCATATCTATCACCAGTACGGACATCACTGAGAGTCTGAATCATAGCTGCCACCTAACTGAATTCACTATTTTGAGAAACCTATGGCTAACTAGTACTGTGAAAACTACTCCCTGATTATTATACATTGGTTCTATCTTATATTTTTGTACAGGCACAAACAAAACTGTATGTAGCACACTTGCCTATATATCACACATATAACCAAATTCCTATACTTTCATGGCTCTTTAACTTTTACAGAGGGACACAATTCGCTGTTCATTATAAAATATTTTTAATGACAAGAAGAACCAAAAAAAAAGAAAACCTTAATCCTAGTTCCAATTCTGCAACTCAAGATCTGTGATCCTAGAGATCACTTTGCTTTATAAAACATATGTGATACTTTTTATGCTACAAAGGTGAGTATCAAACGCTAGTTTTTGGGACTTGACTTCTCATAATGTTTCAAAAGCCAATTGTCTGCAAAATAAAACTGCTTTGGATATAGAGAAAACACTTCTTAATAATAAAAATATGATGATGCTCACTATCATTTATCATGTGCTTATTGTATGCCGAAGGTGGTGAAAAACACTTTATATTATTTAATCAGGATGTTAGCTAAAGCCACCCTGACATTGAAAGTCAAAGTCAAAAATTATCTATAATTTGCCCTACTTCCAATAGGAAAAACAGTATCCCTGATAATATGATAACCGTGGAATTCTTAGAGGAAATTTTTTTCTCCTCAAACTCATGTCTAGCTAAAAATTTACTTTCCTAATATATTGTGTCAGTGTCTTCCTGTCTAAACTCATAATAAAAACCCATCTGATGTCTTTATATTGTAAATAAAACACCTTCATAAACAGAGATGTGTGTTTCAGGCTCCCCAAATCAGGGTAACATAAGAGCTTTAAATTGTGAAATCACAAACAGTTTAAAATCTAATATACATTCATTTTTCTTTTTTGAAAGAGAGTTTTTATCCCTAATGCCCCCAGGAATATCTCATGGGGCTGCCTTTGCCTGCAGTCTCAGCCTCTGCTGTGGTCTTCATCCTCTCTTTCTTCTCTAACCTCTGCTCCTCTTTATTATCTCTGATCTTCATCCCCAATACCTGTTAAAGTCATTTTTCAAAGCCACATAGCTCTCTTGTTTGGCCATCTAATTCCAGACCACTCCCTGGGGATTCCATCAGCTACCATTCCATCAGTCTATTAAGGACTTTCTCTAAATATAGGTCTCTCCAAGACAGAACATTGGATACCAGCGGTTGAAATATTTTTTTTTTAATTACACACCCCCAAAGCACACTGACAGCAATTCTGTGGAGATGGGCACAACTGTGTTCATTGACATTTTGTAAATGATGAAACTAAGGATCCAGCAGTTAAAGTCAACAGTCCGCAGGCTAATGAGTAGTTAATGTGTGGCTAATGAGTAGGAGAGCCAGCCTTGTTCCTTTGAATGTTTTAATCTTGGCCCTCAGAGTACAGTGTAAATTCCGGTTCTCCTGTTAGTTCCTATATAGACTTGGTCCTTCTTGCTTTCTTTGTGTCTTCAAGTGTAGCTGACTCTGCATGAATTCTAGAAGAGCTCCTGCTAACATTTTTCTTCTTAGTTTCTGAATTCAACTTCATACCCTATTTTCAACCTTTCCATTAAAAGGAATTCCACATTCACTAAATGTGTGAGGTATGTCAGCATCAATCTGGTAAGTTGATTCACATAAAAACACCTTATAAACTGTATAAACTGTAAAACTCTCAAAAATTTAAGGTATTGCTGAGGTTGAAATATGTTACATTTACCTCCTTGAATCAATAAAAGCACGTAAGTGAGTTATTTTAGAGTCTGAAAACTGAATGGCAGTTTATGATAAATATCTTTGGTAGAAACGTTTTATATAATGAAACATCAATACTAATACTAATTTATTATAACAGATATCTAATGCAATCATACTAATTATTTTAAACAAGGATGGGAGTTGTGTCTAAATGGAGCCTGGAAAATGATCGAAAGATATAACCCCACATTTATGCAGTGACAAACACAATTTATACAATGACAAAAAAACTCAGCAAGTCAAAGATCTTGGAAATAAATGCATCCATTACCTCTCTGTGAGCTAAACTAGAGAAATGAAAGACTGTGATTCTTGAACTTCAAAGATCCTTATAAATTAAAACCAAACTCAACTGAAAAATATTAAATACAGAGACCTATTTCAGGTGGACTGTGTGAAAGACATGAAAACTTGTAACCAATTTCTGAAATGATGAATAAATTATTTGCTTAGTATGTAAGATGATGTATGTAAAATTTGGTGCTTATCTGCAGACTGAACTTCTCTTTGATCTAGAGATCTATATCATGGATAATGGTCAATAAACATGTACACTTTGTTATATAAACTGTCTCAAGATATGGGACTCCTCCATATTCTATAACTGATAGGACCAAAAAAAAAAAATGGCAGAAATATCTAACCCACAAACCAGTTACTAAAATAGAGCAACCCACATCTCTTGTTACAGAAAAATGAAAAAACACTCATTCTTCCATGAACTTTTATAGTATAACATGCCATCCTATGAAGTAAGATTATATTAAGCCTACGAGGTCATTACGCTTTCTTTTCATGTTGGAAGTAGGAAGAGAGTAAGAAGAATAAACTTTTAATTATAGTAAAAATTCATTCTGAATATAGGACACAGGCATTCCTAGATATTTCGGGGCCAGACAGAAAGTTGGTTTTCCAGTGTATTTCTCCATAATTCTGCATATTTTTGTCATTTCCCAATAAGGTAGCTTTAGAAAGAATCTGACAAATTATAATAGGTTAATTGAACCTATAAACAAATGGAGTTGTCTGCCTTGGGCTAGAACAAGGATTTTACTATGAAGGCAAATGTAGCAATGGGTTGTTGACATTTCACATTTGGATGTAATGAGAATTGGAATATAACCATCAAGAGAGCTGCCCGAGCAATTGATTCCACTTCATTATCTGGTCCTGTCATGTGCTGCTTATCCTATAAGCTCACATTAGACACTAGTAGATCAAATCACTAAACAAAAAAATAAAATATTTGAATGAGTTGCCTAAAAAAGACTATTGGTCATTTATTAGATTTTTATTGTTTTCAGTACAAATGGTTTAGTCTAACATAAAAGAATAGGTGGTCTTCTATCTAAAGTCCTGTAACAACTCAGTTTGTATGACATCATATTTCCCAACACATTTCTGCACTGAGTTGTAAGCAAAATACAAGGCCAACTGGAGTTCCTGGAAGTACTCTGGACCTTAAAGAATGTAACAGATTGTTTTGTGTTCTATTTTGCAAGAAAATATTCAAGGTAAAGTGGAATGGAATGCAAGTCAGTGATGAAAATGATCAGTTGCTCCATTATCTAAGAAAACAGTAATATTATTATTAAAAATAAATGAGGCAACATTCTATGTAATCAGCTTTTACAATAAGCCTATATATGATTCACATTTGATCTATACTGTAAATCCTTTTTAACATTTACTTATCAGAAAATTATAGGCAAAAGTACTTTGGATGCAAGTATAATGCATTATTGTGTTCTCTAGGATTGACCAAAACCACAGCAAACTAAATTGATATTGATAAGGCTAAACTAATAACTCATAATGAAAGAGAAGGAGCAACAACAATTGAAAACTGAGCAGCTTCAAACAAACTGATTCTGCCTTTCACTTAAGTACTCTATCAATCATAGCCATCATTTGACTATAAAACCAGAAGATGGAGCTTAAAAATTCACATCAGTTTACGATCCATTAAGAAGTTCTTCCTGGTCTGGGGAAATCACAAGAATCAATGGATATATATTTAGACTTTGGCAAAAACATTGATGCATTTGCTTCAAATGAGTACTAATATGATATCAGATACTTCATATGAACTATGACCCACCTGGATGAGACCCCTGGGTTCTAAATCTGGCTCTGTTTTTCAATCTGACTCTGTCTGTTTTGTAATCTACAAAATTATTAAAAGAGAAGACAGAGAATATGAGAAAATCTCTGTCCTACTTTCCTCACAGGACTCTTTCAAGGCTCAAATGTGATCCTGCCTTTGAATGTACATCAAAGTGTGTAAAGTGCAAGCCATATAACATTAAAAGTCAAAAAGACACTTAAAGTTATTAAGTCCCACCTTCTCAGGTTGTAGATAAGCAGCAGAGATTTATGATTCACCCAAGAACAGCCAGAAATTTAGTGGCTGGAATCCACTTCTTTTGAGACCTGGTACAGAGATGTTTCAGATTCTTTACACCAAATTCTAAGCTCACACTATTATCACACAATATTTTGGTTAATACGTTACTGATTAAATATATTAAATATCCATTTAATAACTCTGTTAACCACATTTTTCTTGAAACTTTTCCCTTTTTGTCTTTTTGACACTCAATAACCTGGTTCTTCCGCTTTTCTTCTCTTTCTCTTTCAGTCATCAAACACCCTTGATCATATCTTTGGGAATCCTATTAAAATTAGTTCTCTGTTTTACACTTCATCACTCCATACTTCCATGGTTTCCATTATCTTCTCCAAATGGATGAATACACAATTTGTATGTCCAATGTTTTCAAGTATAAAAGCTGGTGAGATATTTACATACAGATGTTCCTCTCAATGTCAGAATCATAACAGCTTTGGACGGCAGGAACTTTGAGATCAAGAAGGCAATGGATAATGCCTTCAAAAGTCTGAAGACGATGACTTTCAGGCTGAAATTCCCAATCTAACCAAACGATTAAACAAGTGCACTAATTAAAGCTCATGCCATATTCAGGCAAGGAAAATGTAAAAATATTAAATTTTCAATGCATCTTCTCTTAGGAAACATTAAGAGTAAGGGTTCCAGAAAAATGAGGATGAAAGCAAGAACAAATGGAGATTTGGAGACCACAAAAGAGGGATATTTGAGATATCAGTAAATGCAGTACCAGCAGGAAAGCCATGCAGGAGCCCAAAGAGCTTCAGTACAAGTTGGAGAGAAGGCAGGCTCCAGAGAAAGGACATGTTATTGATAGAGTATCTGAAATATTCGATTACTGAAAAATATTAGATAGAATTCATACAATTAGTGGAGCATACAAAAAACAAAAGCAGGTATATAGGAAATTAATCAAATGAAAACTAAAATAAGGTAATTATTAATTCCTGGAAATCTACCATTTGGTGGAAACTTTAGTAAGCCATGGCCAGATTCTTCTGAGCTTTGAAGCTCCTCCCTGTGGCCAGCCAGTGACCATATAGTCTTGGGTACCATTCCACCGTGGAGACAGTGGGATCTGTGTTCACTTATTCTTAGCCTAATCACGAAGGTATCTTTGCCCTGATTGTTTCTTAGTTCATTAAGCCAAGCCCAAGTGGAAATTCTTGCAATTTTTCAAATTCCAACCATACTTTGTAGTTTTCCTAAAATGATCAACAGAAAAGAAAATAACAATCATAGATCATAGTCTCTCTCTTTTTTTTTTGGTAGAGTCTTGCTCTGTCACCCAGGCTGGAGTACAGAGGCACAATCTCAGCTCACTGCAGCCTCCACCTCCTGGGTTCAGGTGATCCTCCTGCTTCAGCCTCGCAAGTAGCTGGGACTACAATGTGCACCACTACGGCTACTTTTATTGTATTTTTCAACATGGTTTCACCATGTTGACCAGGCTGGTCTCGAACTCCTGAACTCGTGACTTCAGGTGGTCTGGTCACTTTGGCCTCCCAAAATGATGGGATTACAGGTGTGAGCCACCGTGCCCAGCCTCTCGGTATAGTCTATTACTTGAACCATCAGTAGAAAAATTTACACAGCCATGATAATGCAAATAATGTATACTGTCTTAACCAAAGGTTTTGATATAACTTTATTGGAAGAATGGTGTGGGGAATTTGGTTGGGAGTGAAATACTGAGTATGAGAAAGCCAGTTCTACATGTACACTAATAAGAAATCAGTGGGTGATGTCCAAAATAGATTAAACCAAAGAAAAGCAGGATATTATTTAGAAATACAGAGGTTAATATAACAAGAGACATCCAAAGTCTTTGAAAGTTATCTCCAGGGAGCAAGACCAGAGAATATTAATTTTTAAAGTATGTATTGTAATGTCCTTCTTTTTGAAATATAAGCTTCTCAAGTTCCTCATCTTTGCCTTATACTTTTATTTTATACTCTAACATACTTCTGTGCCTATAACAGAAGTTCAGATATTTGTTTTAGGAATACTAATGAAAAAAGGAGGAATTACCATTAGCTTAGTGGCATGCAAAATGCCTTTGCTTGAGCTTAAAGGTCTAGAGCAAAACACATAGAAAATGATTGACACAAAATTAAAGCAAGAATTCTTTCCTGGAAGTTTGAAGACACATTATTTTTAAACTGCATTTGAAATCCTTAATATCCTACTTTGGGATGTGTCCAATTTTACTCTTTCTCTCAATGTTGACCATTATACCCATGTTTAACAAACCTTGGAAAACATTTTATACTTACTCTGCCCCTTTCCCATAAGAACTTGAGTAACATACAATGAAATGGCATGCTTTATCTGGGTTAATAAAATACAAATAGAAAGTCAGGTCCAAAGAAAAATGAAGGAAATATATATGTTGATGAAGAGCTTTATCAGTATGTGATTAAATATTTATTTCATTTAATTATTTATACCATCCTATGTGAATAATTGGATAAAAAAGAATTAGAGCAAAGAAAAATAAGGATAAGAAAAAGCAGATAAGAAGGGGCAAAAATATTGTTCAAAATTCAAGAGCAATTTCTTGGATACTTTGCTTGAAATGGAGGCAAAGTTTGGCTCTGAGTTTCAAGCAGCTGATACAGAAAGGAGTAGTCATGGTGAAGCATCTGAATGCAAAATGCTACTCTGAGCTGCCTGGCAGCCAGAGCAAAAACAGAAACACAAGTTACTCTCAGAATCATTTCATGAAAATTATAGAGAATGCCACCATAGGGATCTGTTACATAGTTTTTTATTTGCTTATGTGAATGCAAGATACTCAATTACATTTAAATTTATGATAAATAATAAATAGCATCTCAAAATAAAAGTATGGCCCAAATATTGCTAGGCATATACTTGTACAAAAAATTGTTTTTTATCTAATATTCAAATTTAACTGAGATTTTTGAATTTATTATCTTGCTAAATCTGGCTACCCTAATCTAGGGTGTTGATGGAACTTCAGTAACAAACTTTTCAGATAATTTTCAAGATATTCATACTTAATATTTTATATCCCATAATAACTACTATAATATAAATTTCCAGTGTAATGATACGTTGAGTTTTCTTAGTGACCTAATTTCTTGAAAAAGGCTGTCCAAACTGTGTTCGAATTTTTTGTCATGTCCCTATGTTTGATGTTATTCTATCACTTATCTGAGAAACTTACATTTTATTCAAGAAGGTAGCATAAATGCCTCATTTTTTGTTTTCCTGTACTGAGAAATGCTGGAATAAAGAAGGGAAGGAATCATTATTTAAATCAATGATTTGGCAATTCAATTATACATTCTTATGCAGAAAACCACAGTAGAATTACAAAGAGAGGATATTTAATGAGCCGACTATCATTTTTTCAGTGGAGAAAACGAAAATTGTTCTTACTACCTGAGCTTGGAAAAAGTGATGCCAGTCTGCTAGCAGGAAAAACTTGGCATTTATACTCACTGTATGTGAAGGGGAGGTGGACCAGTTATACCCAGGTGAAGAATATGTTACTAGAATTAAGAATAGGGCATTTTGTTCCAGTCAAATCAAGAATCCAGTCAAATCAAGAAGTAACAGTTGGGTGCATTGACTCATGCTTGTAATCCCATCGCTTTGGGAGGCAAAAGTAGAATTGCTTGAGGCCAAAAGTTTGAGACCAGCCTGGGCAACATAGTGAGACCCCATTGTACAAAAATAAAAAAAAAGAAGAATGCTAGTATTTTAGAATCATTACTTTTGCACATTGGATGGGAATATATATATATATATATATCCAAAGAATCTGTGTTTCTCACTTTTATGCATAAATTCTTTAAAATGGAAGATAATTAGTCCATCATACTCAATTTCTTTAAGTTGCTCATTTTCTCCCTCACTTGAGATAGAATTTATTTAATTCTGTGAAATGAGAGGAGTATAGAATACTTAAATTCAAAGCCAAAGAAATTTGAAAGGGGTAATTGTTGAGGGATGCCCGCTACTCAAATTTTAAATTACACTATACTACAGTGGATTCTTTTTTTAGAATTAACAAGAATAAAAACAATGTATCATTTTATTCCTAAGTTGTTAGGGGCCCAATTCTGACAAATTTTCAAGTGCCCCATAATGAGCCTTATGGATGAAATTCAAATCATGAGCCTCCTTCCACTGATACATTTGTGGATGGGAAATAATGTGAGAGATAATGAAGTTGTAAAAATTCATTTCCTAATGCATAGTGTATTGTGTGATATTATGTTGACTTTTTTAAACCAAGTTAAAGTTAGAAATAAAACTGCTCTTACATATTGATTTCTAATAGACCAGATGGGTTCTTTAGTAGAAATGTATTCCTAATGTTTATCTGATTCGTTAATATAAATAAAGAAATATGAGAAGGGTAAGAGAACACAGAAAATGTAAATAATATTTTAGAGATTAAGTTATATTTACCTCTGTCTGTAAGTCGCTCCATAGTAATTCAAATGTATCATAACCTATGTGTATTTCCAATTCTAGAAAAATGGTCTTATATTGACATCTTACTTCAATAGACTCTCCAAAGGCACTAAATTTGTTGGAGTATAAAGCTGTTGATGTAATAAATGCGTGATAGACAGCAACAAAGAGACATGGAATATTAAATCCTGCCTCCTTTATTCAAGTCAACAAACACATATTAAGTGTGTACTCTGCCAAGTATTGCTTTGGCTTTTGAGGCCTAGAGAGATTTAAAAATACAAGCTGGAGGAAGTACATCTATAAATCAATAGATTATTCTTCCATAAGATAAAAACAGCAATAAAAGTATCAACTTGAACATATAGTTGATATACATAAAATTAATAACATACTGATATATAGAGAATAGTTATATATACAGCACATATAGAGTGTATATGTATACATATTTAATTCCATACTGATACGTTATAAAACTAAAAAGATGAGATAGCAAACCTACAGTTTTACTATTTTTTAATACTCAATTTGGTCATCTTATGTAGCCCTGATGAGTATCTTCCCCACTTTGGAGACCAATGACATAAAGGACAGCGTTAACAAGGAGAAGTGTGGCTCGTAAAGGGAGGCTTCCTTCAAAGGTTACCTATGATCTAACATGTAAATAGTAAAATTTTTTTTTAATGAACAAGAGGAAGAACACTCAATGCACATGGATGAGTTTGTAAATACATAGATATATGTAGTGTCATGATTTATTTAAAAAGCATGAATAATTGTAAGTATTTTTTTAAATGTCAAGTTCAAGTAAAGGAGAGAATAGAATAATCCAACATGTGGCCTGAGAGATCATACATGTCAGACCATGAAAGGGCACAGTGGGCATACAAAAGACAAGCGTATTATTCTAAAGACTATGAGTGAGTTGCCAGTAGAGGGTTGTCAATAGGCCAGAAAGATCGCTTAGAAGAATGTGGAATGGGAGTCCTCAAAGAGGGGCATGTATGTTAGGGTATGGAAAGAAGACTTGAGAACTTCAATTTGTATTTATTCATATTTGTTCCTTTAAAGATATGTATTTTGCAAATGTTTTATAGTAACTACTTAATGTTAGAGTACATATTAATTTTAAATGTATAAAGATACATGGATGTACATGCTTTTTTTAAACTGATGGAGTGTTCAAAAAATGTTTTGAAACTACTAATGTTGAGAATGACATGAAGGAGGCAAAAAGGTAGAGGGGAGGAAATGAGGGAAGACACTGGTGCATTAATTCAGATGAAGGATAGAGAAGGCCTCCATGAAGCAGAAATAATGGGGCTATACAGCGGAGCCCTGCCTCAGTAATATTCGCGAACATTCTTTCTTTCACTTTCTCATTCTTTTCCATTGCTTTATCTTTAGCAAGCATCCTGTGCTATCTGCTGTTTTAGTTTGTCAGTTTGTTCAAGCAGCTACAACAAAATGCCATAGGCTGGGTGGCTCATAAACAACAACAAATTTATTTCTCACAGTTCTGATGACTGGACAGTTCAAGATCAAGAGAGCAGAAGATTTGAAGTCTGGTAATGATCTGCTTTCTCACAGGTAGCCATCTTCTCACTGTAACTTCACATGGTAGAAAGGGCCAGGGATTTCTCTGGGGTCCCTTTGTAAGGGCCCTAATCCCATTCACGAGGGCTCTGCCTCCTAATACCATCACCTTGCGAGTTAGGATTTCAACATATTAATTCAGAGAGAACAAAATAATGTTATTCACCTACATTTCAAAAGACGAAGCTTCTGAGAGCCATTGGATTGCAGTCCCAGCAGAGAACTGCCATGAGGACAGGGCCTCCTGAGACTTAAGGCCAGTAAAGTCACAATTGCATGATTCTAGCCTGAGAGTGTTCTAAATCTTTATGTTCTACTTCCCTTCTGCTGATCAATTTCATCTTGAAGTGATTTCTTTCTTTTGCATGTTACTATATGCAATTAAGAGAAACCAAGACACAATTTTAACATTTTGCTTAGAAATTTCCTCAGCCAAATATCCAATGTAATCACTCATAAGTTCTAACTTTCCCAAAACACTAGAATACAAATACAATCCAGTCAATCTCTTTGCCACTTTACAACAAGGATGGACTTTCCTCTGTTATCTAATAACATGTCCCTAATTTTCATCTGAGACTGTATCAGAATGACATTTGCCATCCATATTGCTAGCAAAATCTTGGTCAGGAATGCTTAGATATTCTCTAAGAAGATTCAGGTTGTCTCTACAGCTCTCCTCTTCTTTCTGAGCCCTCACCAGAATTGCCTTAACATGTTTTCACCACAATGTAGTCTTTTACTATCATGTACCTCAAAAGTATTACAGCTTCTACTCGTTACACAGTTCCAAATCTGCTTCCACATTTTTAGGTATTTGTTATGGCATCACCCCCACTTCTTGGTATCAAAATCTGTATTAGTCAGAGTTCTCTCAAGAAACAGAACCAAGACGATATACAGAAATATGTAGAATGAGATTTATTATGCGGGATTGGCACATGCAATTATGGAGGCCTAGCAATCCCAGTATCTGCTATTTTCAAGCTGGAGGTCTAGGAAAGCTGGTAGTATAGTGCCAGTTCAAGCCAAAAGGTCAAAAAACCAGGAGAGTCAATGGTGCAAGTGTAGTCTGAGAGAAAAGCCCAAGATAAGGAATGCTGAGAGTGGAAGAAGACAGATGTCCCAGCTCCCAAAGGGAGAGAAAATGTGTTCCTCCTTTGCTTTTTGTTCTATTCATGCCCTCAAAATATTAGATGACACCCACCCACATTGGGAAGGGTAGATTTTCTTTACTGGTTCTACTGATTCAAATGCTAATCTCTTTATAAAACACCCTTAAATGCACACACACAGAAATAATGTTTTACCTTAGTAAACTGACACAAAATTAACCATCACACCCATACATAGGAGAGCTGATTCTAAGTGCTCAGAAAAACCTTGGATGATTTTGTGTTATTTAAGCTTTGTCTGATTCTGGGGATTTGGGTTGGAAAATCATACTTCTCTGAATGGTTAGAGACAACCTAGATGATTTTCTACATATTATTTCCCTATATCTCCACAATGGTCACTGTGTTTGAATGTATAGAGGAAAATGTCATAATATAAAGAAAGAGGAGGAGGAAGAAGACTGTATTCTAAAGAAAGAATATCTGTTAATAAAGTCAAAGTCCAACTTGAAATGTCATTGTCTCCCTCGTTTCCTCTTATCGCAGTCATTTGTTCTTCAAGGATGAAGCCCAGAACTACTTTCTGAGCTGGGCTGACTTGCTCTTTTCAGAGCAGACAGGCATCAGAGGGATTCATTATCCTTTCCTGACACATAGAAACAGTCTACACTCTGTCATCCGGAAACTAAATCTCCTCTCAGAGAAGTTTGGTCTCCAGCCTGTCTTCAATATTATAGGCAGAGCTATAATCATTATCTACCTATCATCTATTTATTAATTCTATCTATCTATCATCTATCTATATCATCTATGTATCTATAAAATTGTATATACATATATATACCTATACATAGACATATATATACTATAAATGCAAAATATGTGTATATAAACATATATAATGTTTCAACATATGTGTGCGTGTTTATGTACTCAACGTGTGTGTGTGTATGTGTGTGTGTGCGTGCCTCTAAGTATTGTACAACAATCATACATCTAGAGTAAAACAGACCTACATCTGAATCCCAATTCTAGCGCCTACGAGCTATACAAAAATCTGACAACTTAATTATTTATTTGAGCCTAGCCTCCTCACCTCTAAAATGGCAATAACAATGCTCACTTTGCCATCTTATCATGTGAATTAAGTGAGATGGTGGCATATAAATTGCTGGCTTACAGAGAAATTCAGTAGAGTAGCCATTGTCGTTTCGTTGCGGAAGGTAGAATTACCTTTCATGACTTCAAAGATGTCTTCTGAACTGAAGTTCAGAGGTGAAAGGATAGGCAATAAAAACATAATAGAATTCACATTTACTGAGTTTTAGTTTCTTTGGCAAACACAAAGATAAACAGTGACTGAACCCCATTTGTGTTCTCAGACAATGCAAGCTGTGATATGTTATGAAGCACATGGACAGAATACACATGGTAAACAAAAGAGGGAGAGAGGGTGGAAAAAGGCAGAGAGACAGCGAGAAAGGGAGAGAGGAAGGCCAAATGCAAATGGTATGATTTGAGCTAGACTATAAAACCTCACTTACTCAGAGGTCACATTTGGCAAAATTTTAACAAGGATGTAAAAGATCTCTGGCGGTATGCAAAGCAATGCAACACCTTCATGCACTTGAAGCCAGGGAGAAATGTGTCCTTTGACTTTCTCTCAGGATTTACTTACCCTTGGTTCTGATATAAAATTTAGTGCATTTATTTATTTAGTGTTCTAGTATATGAAAAACTAGAAGTAGAATTTTCATGCAGGATAGGTTGTATTGCTAGTGGTCAATGTTTGGAGAGAAAAGTAAAATGGCAGCTAATGATCTGGTGGAGAAGAAAAAAACAGAATTCATTAAAATCAAGTGCTAGAATTCCATAATTAAAGGAACTGGAGCAATTTTGTAGAAGAGAAGTTATTCATAACATACCCTTTTCCTCCTCATGCATCAGCATATTATAAACAACTTAATAACTGCTCCTTGAAATGATGGGTTAAGTCATCAAAAACAAGTTAAATTATGTTTACAACCTCTTTTAATGAAATTGCAGCATAAAATGTATTGTTGAATGATACCACTAAAATAATTAACATTTCTTGCAAACACTTAGTGTTGAACAGTTGCAATAATTATAGGTTGCTTAACTTTTCTGAGCCAAATTTCCTTATTTATAACATACACATGATAACATTTAATTAATGCAGTTGTCATTGGTTCTAAATGAGATAATAATTATAAACATTCATTGTGTCTGGTCTGGCATATAAGATGTTAATTCATTAATTTCTACTTTTAATTGGTTGATTTTTTCTTTAACAGGATTAGCCTTAATTATTTGAAAATTTGATATTTCATGAATTTACCACAGTGAAAGTTAAATTAGCAGTTACTTCTTTTTCTTTTTCCTTAAAAATACAAATAGTAGGCTGGGTATGGTGGTTCATGCCTGTAATCCTAGCACTTTGGGGGGCCAAAGTGGGTGGGTCACTTGAGGTCAGGGATTTGAAACCAGCCTGGCCAACATGGCGAAACCCCGTCTCCACTAAAAATATAAAAATTAGCCAGGTGTGGTGGTACATGCCCAGCTGGGATTACACCCAGCTACTCAGGAAGCTGAGGCAGAGGAATTGCTCTAACTCAGGAGGTGGAGGTTGCAGCGAGCCTACATCACATCACTGCACTCCAGTCTGGGTGACAGAGCAAGACTCTGTCTCAAAAAAAAAAAAAAAAAAAGACAAATAGTGAAGTACAAAGAGATTAATATATGTTTTAGTCTATTAAATTGTAGGTTGTTACCCTGTCACAAGGGTTCCTTGAAAAGTCACAGTTCCTTTAAGAATGCCACATGGTACCAATATGGAGAAAGCACCATTTATTTTTCATGAGTACAACTATCTGCTGGATTTATCACACAACTGTGGGAATTCAGGTTCTTTCTTTGTTGATTCCTCCAGCCTGAGTAGAGGGAGTCTTAGCCCACAGGCACACAAAAAAAGTGTGTATATGACTGCATATATTGGAAAGAATACAGATTTGTCTCATTTTTGTATGCTACACTTTGGGAATGAACATTTATTAGGAAAGGATAGGACTACTAAACAGTAGTTGCATATGATTTCCTGAAGAAGCATATATTTTATTTTAGATTTGGAGACATCAAACATGAGTAAAATTTCATTCACAAATGTTATTTACTCTTTCACTGAAAGCAAGTTTCTCTTTTTTGAAAATGAAAAATCATTTCCACTTTCATTATATCCTTCCAATTCCGCTCCAAAGCAGTGTTGCTGAAGCACATCTTTATTTTACACATTGTCCTATCAACAGCTTGTTTCTGCAATATTTTTCACACCAAAGGAACGCGGTGTATTTGATTGAACTTGTCAATCCCTCATTCTGTTCCAGTGAAGATGAGGCAAGAGAGCTTGTTACTAGTAGTTAAAGAGAGTTCAAGCTGCAGAGCTTGTTTCAAATGTGTCTTCTCTGTGCTCAAGCAATCAATGATCCTGGTCACTGACCCTGTCTGAGTTCTAGCCTCTCAGACTGAGCAGATGACTCATTCATAGATCCTAGGCAATCCATCTCCTTTCTCTTCCACCCATTCCTATCACACCAAACACACACACACACACACACACACACACACATCATAGACAGTTTTGGAATATGCCTTTTGCTTGCATCTACTCATCAAACCTCATCTGACTGTGTCTCATTGATATCGTCAAGATAATATCAAGTAACTGTTCAATCTTTCTTCTATGTGGGGGATTGAAAAAATTGGAGATTACAAAAAATGCACTACAAAAGAGAACATTAGGAGAACTAATCACACGGGTTAAAGCCAGGTTTGTGCATGGGGGTCAAAGATGATCTTTGCAGTGAGAATGTGTTATAGTCAGAAGCACAGGGAAATTGATGGCCAAAAATGTTCTATACCTAATGGCCCACCAAAGATCAAAGATGCTAAAGAAAATTCTTCTTTAAGAAATACGGAGGAAGTATACATCGAGGAAAAGAAAAAAATGAGCAAAGATGGGAGAAATGGAGATGAGGTGTTAAGTGGGAATGAAATAAATGTACATAAGACTTCTGACATGGCCAGAACTGAGATTCTTTGTGTTGGGTGTGATGGGGTTTGGGCATGCTATCCAAAAATATGGCACCTTAATGTTTGAGAAACTGCAGAAGCAGGAATCTCTCTCTTACGTTCCCTTCATCCTTCACATCCAAGCAGATCATAAGACCCTCATTCAAAAGGTTGTCTCCGAG